CCCGCCTACATCCTGACAGCTGCAGAGTCCTGACTTTTGGGGCGGCCGCCCGAGAGGAGGGAGGGGGGCGGCCGCCCGAGAGGGAGGGAGGGGGGCGGCCGCCCGAGAGGAGGGAGGGGGGGCGGCCGAGAGGAGGGGGGAGGGGAGGGGAGCGGGCGGCCGCCCGAGAGGAGGGAGGGGAGGGGAGCGGGCGGCCGCCCGAGAGGAGGGAGGGGAGGGGAGCGGGCGGCCGCCCGAGAGGAGGGAGGGGAGCGGGCGCCCGGCACACAGAAGAGTCACATTTAAGTTTGTAAACAGCCGCATGTGGCTCGCGAGCCGCGGCTTGCCGACCACTGGGCTAGGGTCTCTCAGCCCCTCTGAAAGTTCGCACAGATTATTGCAAACTACATGAAGAAGTATCTCCTCTCCCCCGTAGAACTGCTCCCAGCTCCACAGCCTGCAGACACTACCAATCCCCCTGGCTGCTCTGAAGATCTCCCAGGACAAGGATAAAGGATTAAGCACAGCGCTGTCCTTTGAAAGCTTACTACATGTGGCAGTCTCTCCCCTTGTGAATCCTTGGGTGTGCTGATGTATTCACTCTGCCCTCCTTGTTCCCACTGCTCCCAAGCAATGATCCTGTTCATACCATAATGCTGAGCAGATCTTCCGGAGCCAGCCCGAGCCCAGCCCCCCCTTAGAACTAGTGGACCCCTCCCAGGCCACCAACAATCTCCCCAGCACTCCAACTTCCAACCAACTCTTCTGCTAGCATTGCTCTCATATTTATGAGTTAGCCTTACCATACTATGTATATAAAACACAAAAAAAACTCTACATGTCGCGCTCCCAATATACTAAAAATATCAATCAAATCAAAATAAACAATAAAACAAGTATATCAAAAATAACAAGATAACAACAACTTGATTAAATTAAGGCAATAATATAAAAAAAACTTTTTTACAAAGTGCTGTTTGTTTTTACACCATGAATATCTAGGAGAGGATTAAGGAGGAGATCCATAGTAGCTGAAGGAGGGAGAGATCCCTTCAGGGATCACGAGCAGACAAGGAGGCAAGTGCTGCAGAGCACTTAGGAGACACCCAACACCTATGTTATGCTGCAGCAAATCATAGCAGGTTCCATTTATGTGAACAAAAAGCGCAATAAGCCTGTTAGGCTCGTAAGGAGGTGAGCGCACATCTTTGCCATTGCAAGGATTCACAAAAAGTCACAATTATTGCATTTTGGATCACGCAATCACTTTTTTTGGGACTTTTTTTATATATATAATTTTTTCTTGTATTTTTTTGAATGATCAAAGGGAGGTTTTTGTCTAATAACACATTTCTTTCTGGGGATTATTTTGAGATTCACTTTTTTTTATATTATTGCTATAATTTAATCAAGGTGTTAGCTAGTTATTTTGGATATATTTGTTTTATTGTTTATTTTGATTTGATTGATATTTGTAGTATATTGGGAGCGTGACATATAGAGTTTTTTTATGTTTTATATACACAATATGAGAATGTGATATTGTCAGCAATCCTTTTTCAACTCTTATTAGTGGCTCGCAAGTAATTAACAAATTTTATAGCCTTACCATACTACCAGGGCTGCCAAACCTGGGACTGGCCAGACGCCCATAAACATGCAAATTTAGGTCTCCACCCCTCCTGCCCACTGGCATTAAGAAGCATTATGAATGCTTATAGCAATGAATTTCAATGCTATAAACAAGCATTTAACTGAATGGAATCATTCATTCAGTTTGATTTGTTGTGATTATCGGTGATTGTCCACAGCTAATCATATGACATAGATGGGCTGAGATTGTCTCAATCTGTGCCATGTGATCACTGTGACCAATCATGGCATGAAAGGAAGCCATCCATTGTTTACAATTGTCATGTGACCTGCTGTGATTGGTCACAGGGTACTGGCAAAGGTACACAGATCAGTCATTGGCTGTGTTCAATGCTCAAAGTCAGCAACAAATCTCAACGCAGTGTGGCTCCATAGGCGTGCGCGAGATGGCGATCTGGCAGGGCGCGATATGAAGGTTTAGGGGTTAAAGTGAAGCCTGGGTCATATCATTTATTTACAGAGTTCTGTGAATGTGAAAACTTCAAGTACCGACAGTCTTGATGGCTACGGACTTGAAGTTCTCAGTGAATTACCAGGGTGCTGTTGAGCACTCTAGATCGTGAATTAACACTTCCTCATCAGTGTAACTGCCTGTCCATATCGGGGTACGGGCAGACAGCCTGTGGGAACGTGGCATTCCACCCACAACCTGCTGATTGCGGGCAATGCTTTACAGGCTCCTAACAGAAAATAAAAAAATAATGCATTTTTTTTTTTATTCAAAAAAAATGTGCATGTCTGTTTTTTTTTGCAAAGGTAAACTTCTCCGAATATAACTTTAACAATCCCAAACTGGAGCTGGATTGGTGGAAAAAGACTTGAAGAAAGCGCTGCAAATGTTGTGTAAATGCTCCCTGTACACAATGCCCTTATACAACCTGAAAAGTGACTGAACAAGGTTAAATTGAGTCAAATAGTTTAACCCTAAGCATACATACAAACACACACAAATACAGAAACATGCATACAGAAAATACCAAAAAGAAGTTACAGCACTTGCATAGGCAAAAATTACTTCTTATTTTTTCTAAAATCTGAATTAAACTAAATACATAACAGAATATGGATATTGGATCATACCGGAATACTTGGCAATGTTATCCAAAAGTAAGGGATATTTAGTGAGCCTCTGCATCTCAGTAGGGATAATGTCCTTTAGCTGTAAGCGCCGGCACAAAGGATTACTCTCGGCATCCTGCAAGTACACATTTATCATTGTTAACAAGACTGATTACATGCACCATCAATTTATTTCAAACATCATTACAAACTACTTCTGTGAGAAAGCGCACAGTAAGAACAACTCATGTTACTGCAGTTACACTTCATGAGCAGCATATCACTCATGTTACCGAAGATACACAGGTCATGTAATCTCACATCTATTATGGACACAGCCATATATTAGGTGGCTTACATGTGCTAATTTAATGCCATGTTGAATTAATTTCCCCTAGAGCGGTTTTCCATCTCAAAGCACCCTCCACCACACATGTTGCTGATCGGCAGGGGTGTCCAGCCTCACAACCTCTTTAATCACTTGCCCTCCTGAGGATTTACCTCCCCTTCATGACCAGGACATTTTTTGCGTTACGGAGCTGCATTACTTTAAATGACAATTGCGCAGTCATGCAACGCTGCACCCATATGAAATTTATGTCCTTTTTTTCCCACAAATTGAGCTTTTTTTCGGTGATATTTGATCACCTGTGCATTTTTTTATTTTTTGTGCTATAAGCAAAAAAAAAGACTGACAATTTTGAGAAAAAAAAAACAATATTTTGGACTTTTTGCTATTAAACATGTCCAGTAAAAAAATTTTAAAAAATGAAATTTCATCATAAATTTAGGCCAAAATGTATTCTGCGACATGTCTTTGCTGGAAAAAATCCCAATACGTGTAAATTAATTGGTTTATGTTTACAAATAGCGGTATAGATAATGGGCTTTTTTTTTTCTACTAGTAATGGTGGTGATCAGTGACTTTTAGCAGGACTGCGGCGGGCATTCTGACACTGGGGGGGGAACTAACTTGGTGTCACAGACATCTACAGGGACACCAATAGTGATCAGTGCTAAGAAGAAAAAAAAAAAAAGCACTGACACTGTGTGGCACTGGGCAGGAAGGGGTTAATGTGAGTGACGATCAAAGGGTTAACTGTATGCTGGGAGTGTTTTACTAGGGGTGGGGGTGGGGGGGTGCTCTTCACTTTAAGGACACTGATGTGCACAGCACAGCCATCCTGAGCAGTGTGCTCGAGCTGACAGTGAAGAAGATTGTAAGCAAAACAATCTTTCTCCCCATCGGAGATGCTTGGTAATCAACGGGCGCCGGCGGGTAATTACCGGCCGAGAGCCGCAGTGATTGACATCCCCAGCGGCGAATGGCGGCGCGGGTAGGGCTCCCATGCGCTCCCTACCCGGAAATGAAAAATCACGTATATATGCTATAGGGAGGTTCTTAAGCGGTTTTATGAGAGGCAGGTAGGTCCATACAATGATAGTCTGTGGCGCTGCTTCAGAGTTTATTCAGAAAAGCCGATTGGCAGTTGCCCTGGTTAAAACATAACTGCTAATCACCGTCAGGAAGGCAAACGTGGAGATTTTCCAATTCCTATATAAAAGTGGAAACTATTCATTTAACTACACTTAACAGTATTTACTATAAAATGGAATCACTCCTTTAAATAAAAAACTTCTCTTTAATAAAATATCAAGCCTCTTAACTGACATATACATGTGAAGAAATTTCTCATACATCTTGTATGTGATCACAAAAACCAAAATAAACAAGGGCACTTTCATTGCTTTTTCCTATGTCAGCTATGTTCGCACCAGCAAGATGAGAAGGAGGGGTTGGAACACATGCCCTGATGTATGGCAATGCAACCACGTATCACTTAGCAACCAGTGTTATTTGTTCACTAATACTTTTTAAAAATAATTTTAAGAAGAATTCGGTTTTCTCAGTCACCACCATAACATCCAGAACATGGATTTAAACTACAAGCCAGGGTGTAATGAAAACAATCCAAAAAGTTAGAAGTTCTAATGACCTGAACAAACATTAAAAATTTAGGGTCCTTTTTCTGCCGGGACTTTATCATCTCCAAGGCAAAGGGCTGATTGCTACAAAACGTGGCGACTGCCTGCTTTAACCTCTCTTCCTCTGGTCCGCAGAACTGTAAGACACAAAGACACTTTGTAAGAATTTTTTCCATGATACAGGCATGCATAGAAATGAGAAGACAAGGAGGGTGGCACTAAAGAGAAATGGCTTACCCAGCTTAGAACATCATCTCCAATCTGTTCAATGACAGAGGTCCCGTAACGCTTTCTGACTGCTTTCATCTGCTCTTTAAGCCCCACTGAAAGAAAAGAGAAGGGACGTCATCACCTCCAACTTACTGATTAGTAGTGAAAGAGCAGAAGCACATTGACTAGGCCATCACTCTGCTCTCTCCTCCTGACAACATGTTCACTGTCCTCACAAGTACACTGCCATAGAGTCAATTTCTAACGTTGCCTTCACTTTCCCTATAAGTTGCTGTGGAGATTACACAGGGTCAATTATACAAATCAAATACAAATACAAAAAAAATGGAATCTTGACCTATCAGTTAATTGTATACCTTGGAGCAGGGTTTGACAAATTTGCTTTGAATCTGGGAGCCAGTTTTATTTTTATTTTTTTAAAGTGTAGAGTCGGTTGTCAGCGCTTGGAGGAAGGCAACTTTTGGGCGACAAGCTTCACGTGATGCGATTTGCTGCGGGACATTGATGGCAAAACCGCACCACGTTTTAGGTGCCATTAAAAATAATGGCACCTGAACCTGCATTTTGCAATCACAGCGATTCGGCCGCAATCCCAAAATGCCCAGGTGTGAATGGAGCCACCCTGGTTTACACATATGTGATTCCAGATGCGTTCTCAAAATCACAGATTGCATGACAGGCTAGATATGTGTTCCTACTGAGGTGGTTCCACGCGTGCCATTACGAAAGGGTCCTGTGCGAGTTTGTAGCGATGCATTCCAGACTCGCAAGTGATAGAGTAGAGTGGCATGCAGAGATAAGTGTTCACATAAAATTGCCAATGGCATGAAAGGAAGCCATACATTGTTTACAATTTTCATGCAGCGTTTTTGCAACTGAAGTCAATGACACACTATTTTGCACTGATGTCAATGGGACGCGATTTTGCATTGATATCAATGGGAGGCAGTGTGTGAACACAGGATGCAATTTCTAGTCACAATGGCGACCTGGCACCAGGGATTTGTCAAGCCCCGACTTGGAGTAGAGTCCAGGACACAGGGCAGGAAGTCATAGACCATAGGTTATATGCCGCTACCTTCAGGTGCCTGGACACTGACAAAAGCTTTGCTGGGAACTCCTCCAGTACAACCTCATATAACCCCACCCACTTCACAAAACTCCAGTTTTGTAGCAAGCAATAAGGAGAACCAGTCTTGTACTGTATTCCAAGATAAGGAACGTATTGGCAATTCAAAATTACCATTATCTTAATTGTACAGGACAAGAAGTCAGAGACCTTGGGACATTTCCAAGCATTAAACTCAGGGGTGGGCAACAACATCGCAAACAGGCCCACAAAAAGCAAGGATCAACAGACCCCTAAACACTTAGATGACAGCCTGAAGCAATTTGCAACCGATGTTCACACAGCAGAGGCCTGAAGATTCAGATTCCAAGAAGACACAGGACAACAGAGTGGGGGATTAACATAAACTCTTTGTATAAAAGGTCTCGACAAGAAAATGCAAAGCCAAAGGTTTCTAGAAATGAATTGATAAGCTAGAAATCTGTTCCCTCAGTACTATGAGCCAGATGCTCATCCAGATCAGACAGGAGGATGGCCAGGATGCAAGATATGTGAATATTGCTGAGGGTCGAGGCACCTGCTCTTGCAACAGCCATAGTAGGCCCTCCAGGTGATGGCAGATCATTCAAGAGGCAGATTTTCTTTCCCTGAGCAAGGTGGGAAACACACTGACAGAGGTTTGGCCTGTTTGGAAAAGGCCAAGGCTCGTCTGTCAGCAGTCTGTATGTGTAAGAAGTCCTCCTGGGCCAATTCAGAGCAATGAGGATCACCAGAATCTGTTCTCTCTCTAACTTGCAGAGAAACGTTACAGGAAGGAATGCATATACTAGTTTGAACAGTGACCAAGGATTCACCAGGGTATCTACCTCAAAGGCTGAATCTTGAGCTATGATATCAAAATCTGGTGTGTCGCATTAGAAAGATCTTGGGGTGGAGGGCCCACTTCCCCGAGTCCAGGCAAGTCTTATAGAAGAGGATAAGACATTAAAGTTAAAAACATCCCACATGTAAATAAAGCACCCAGTTACATATCCAGGAAAACCCGGTCTTACCTTATCCACACTGTATGTTCCTGAAGGGGACCATACTTCATCATAAAGGGGTCTTCAGGGTCTCTGGGTGCCATCAAAATGGACCAATGCCCAGGCCACTTATAGCACCCCTGCGACTAACTACACACATTGCACAATGTGCCTCAGAGAACACTGAATGCACGATCCATTGGCTGAAGCAAACATTACAAGTCAGGCCCACTGTTGCGAGATCTGGGTATGGTTCCAAAGATGTACATGGAGGTTAACCAATCCAGAAACTGCTAGTGAGCCCCAATAACCAATCGGATCCCATTAGAGGTGTCAAGCAAAGTAGTGAAGAACATTTTTAAAAAAATTGTTAGAATGCCATAGGAGAAGAGGTCCATCACCTTGGACAGAAAAAAAACAAAGCTGAAGTCCCACAGAGTAGGTGGGGGTTATATGAGGATGCACGGAGGGCATTGCCAGCAAAGCTTTTGCCAGTGTCCAATCACCTAAATGTAGGGTCACATGGCCCATGGTCTAGGACGGGTGTCGGCAACCCGCGGCTCTTTTTCACCTTTCCTGCGGCTCCGGAGCACACTGCCCACCAGGTGACAGGCAATAGGGTCGGCAAGCCGCGGCTCTTTTTAATGCAGCTCTTCTGTGTGCCGGGCGCCCGCTGGCAAACATTGGCTGTCAGGATGTAGGCGGGGCAGCGTGACGAACGCCTCTCCTCTCACAGTCCGCCCTGAAGACCAGAACGGCGCGGGAACACAGCGAGAGGAACGCGCGGAGCAAAGATAAGTAAATTGACACAATATGGGGAATGAATTACTATAGGGGGGATGAATTACTATTACTATATGGGGGGATGAATTACTATATGGGGGATGAATTACTATATGGGGGATGAATTACTATATGGGGGATGAATTACTATATGGGGGATGAATTACTATATGGGGGATGAATTACTATATGGGGGATGAATTACTATATGGGGGATGAATTAGGAATTTACTATATGGGGGAGGAATTACTATATGGGGGAGGAATTACTATATGGGGGATGGAATTACTATGTGGGGGATGAATTACTATGGGGGGGATGAATTACTATGGGGGGGATGAATTACTATGGGGGGGATGAATTACTATGGGGGGGATGACTATTTACTATGGGGGATGAATTACTATATGGGGGAAGTATTTTCAGTTTTAAAAATGTTTCTCGCAAAATAAATTTCAATTGTGGTTTTGGCGAGATTTGGCTCAGTTGAAAAAAAAGGTTGCCCACCACTGACCTAAGGCTATGATTGTGATTATGACGATACACTGTGGCCCTGATTAACCCTTTGCTTACTGGGCCCTTAAACCCCCTTCATGACCAGAGCGCTTTTTGCAATATATGCAGTGTTGGATTTGTTTTAAATGTTGCAATGGTTTTGCGGCTCCCAGTCTTTTTTTCCCTCTCGGAAACGGGTTCAAGTGGCTCTTTATGTCTTAAAGGTTGCAGACCCCTGGTCTAGGACTTCACATACAGTGGCAAGAAAAGTATGGAATTAATTGGTTTTCTGCAGAAATTAGTCATAAAACTTGATCCTCATCTAAGTCACAACAATAAACACAATGTGCTTAAGCTGATAATACACACAGAAAATTTTAATTTATCATGTCTTTATTGAAAACATTTAAAAGTGTTGGAGGAAAAAAGAAAGAGAACCCATAGACTAATTACTTCAACAAAAGCGAATTGTAGTCTGCACACCTGGAGTCTAATTAATGAAATGAGTTTGGAGTGGGTGTGATTTAGAGCTACTTTGATCGATAAAATACACTCAAACATTTTAAGATTGCTGTTCATAAGAAGCATCCGCTGATGTGAACAATGCCTTGCAAAAAAAAAAAAAGATCTCTTAAGACATACAGTCAAGAGTAGTTGATCTGCATAAGGTCGAATATGCATACAAAGCAATCTCAAAGTGTTTAGGCATCCATCAGTCAACAGTTAGACAAACGGTCTATAAATGGAGACTGTTTAGTACTGTGGCTACTCTTCCAAGTGAGTGCTCATCCAAGATGACTCCCAAGGCACAATGCAGAATGTTCAATGACATAAAGAATCACCAACGAATAAAGGCTTGAAGACATCACTGGAAGTGGCAAGCATCCCTGTTCATGAGTTTACCATATGTAAGTCTTTGAATAGGCAGGGTGTACATGGCAGAACACCATGGAGGAAATCGCTGCTCTCTAAAAATAAAAACATTGCTACGCACATGAAGTTTTCTAAAAAGCACCTTAGCAATGCTATTAGGAAAAGGTTTTGTGGACTGATGAAACAAAAGTTGAATTGTTCATAAAGAATACCCAGCACTATGGTGAAAATGGCAGAGCTTACCATCATCTAAACTGTGAAGTATGGTGAAGGTAACATCATGATTTGGGCTTGGTTTGCTGCTTCAGGGCCTGCAGCACTTGCCACCGAGGGGAAAATTATTCCCAAGTTTACCAAAAAATCTTACAAGCCAATGGACTCAATTTACAAAGAGTTATTTTCCTATTAAAATCTGAGATAAAATAACATAGCTGTTTTCAAACTTTTTGTGCAATTCACAAAAAAAGGCTACTAAATTAAAGCATTAGAGTTATTCCATCAAAATGTAAGGTATTTTACTCATGAAACCATTTGTTATTTTATCTCATAATGTGATATGCAGTGGAATTGATACAGTGGAGAAGGATTAGAACTCCTGTCAGTTTTTAATGCTAAAAAGAGGTAAAATGGTTTAAACCGCAGAAATATGCCAACTCACGAAGTCAGTGTGGTCCATGAAGCATATGTATTAATACAAAAGAAAAAGTGACTGGAATACCATTTAAAGGGAAGCTGCTTTCACAGGACAAACATGGTGCATCCAAAAAAAAAAAAAAAAAAAAAAACCCCTAACTTTAATTAAATACAAAATATCTATGTCAAATCCGGAACAAAAACTGTATTAGAAAA